CGGCGATGGTAGGTTTAGTGTTAAGGGCACAGTAACTCGCTCAAAAACTGATTTGTATATTTTATTAACTATTTTGTGATCTTTGTATGTTTCGATTATGAAAAAATTTGTACTATTATTGAAATGTTTTAAGAATTACGATTATATAGTGATTCCATTAATATTCGGACACTTTTCAAAACGCAATAATTTTTTTAGAACTGGACTAAACGACTTGAATTTTTTTTTAGATGATAGAGCGACCAGTCTACTAGACCATAACTACAATACTTTCTCTAAATTTTGCTATTGCTTAGAACTGAAAAAGAAAATAAAAACTCTCGTTTTTTAACTTTTTTATCTGACCCTATAACGAAAATTTATAAAATGTATTTTATAGATCTCAATAAGTTACATACATGTTAAAAATTTCACCGAAATCGGTTGACCTTGCCATGCGTTGTAAACAATTAAAGATCACAAATATCGCAATTCGTACAATCTTTTAACGCTTATAACTTCACTTTGCGTTAATCAATTTTCGTTATAAGCTCAGATAACAAAGTTAAAAAACGAGAGTCTTTCATACTTTGTCATTCCAAGTAATAGCAAAATTGCAACAAAGTAGTTTAGTCAGTGACTAGTATACTAGTCCCTTTATCGTGTGTAAAAAAAATTCAAATCGTTTATTCCAGTCTCGACAAAGTTATTGCGTTTTAAAAAGTGTCCGAATATTAATGGGAATCACTTTAAATAACTGTAAAAAAAACTGTTCAATTTGTCGAAAACTTCGGACGTCACTTGAATAGGCACAGTAATTGACACACTTATCCTAGTACGGTCGAAATCGAGGCTTTGCAGCAGTCTTATTTATCGAGTAGTTTGTACCAACACGGGCGTATTGTGTGCTATTTTAACAAATCGGTAAAGCGTCTAATAATAGTGACCGTGTAATGTAGTCATCGCGCTAATTATTTCTGCCACGTGGAAATATGAAATTACTTGCTGGCTCACCTTTCTCGCGTGTTACATTTGCACTGAGTTTTTACGGTGTACATTAGTTCGATAGCGCGCGGAGGATAAGATAATATTTTTAGAGACTTCAGGCTTCCAGTCGCGGTCAACGAAGTTCCACCTTGTACACATAAGTATTTCACCGTGTATAAATAAATATTCTGCCTTGTATGAAGTTCAGGCTCGGGTGAATTTCGGAGAATTCGAATTTCGATATCTATGAATTGTGATATTTCGGTGACCACGTCACAATTCTCGGTTCATTCTCCGCATCTAATATAAATATTTCGTGTATGCAAATCGCGCTTCAAGAACGATATCCGGTCAATTCTGACCCAAAGTGATAATATACAGCAAGAAATGTTCGGTCAAGTTAAACCGTGGATGAAATGTTTTATGATTTGATGTTTATTTATTTTGTATTTCTAATTCTCTTCATTATATTTTATCTTGACCTTGACGTAACCTTGAAAAGAAAACGATGAAATAATGAGCGGGTAAAAAGACATCGTTCTTCTATGCTGGTCATCCTTTGATACCATTCAAGCAATGTCATAAATATTTTTTGTATCATTAAAGATAAAGGAGATACAGTCAATTCTCTCCAATTGTCTCTCAAGTTGTAAGCAAAAATAGATAATTTGGGAAGAGGAGAGAGATTCATAGTCCTCTTCTCAAATTTTTGTTCACAAGTCGAGCGACAATTGACGAGAATTTACTGTATTTAGATGCCTTCTTTAGCTGAAACAATCCAGAGACAAATTGAGAAGACAAAATATAAAATCAATATCTTTTTTTTATATAAAATGTCGAACTGCATCGACTAATGTATAAGAAAGATATATGATTACGATAGAAAAAGTGAAGGTGACTTTGAGATCTCCGAAAAAATATTATTACTGGTAGTTCCAGCGTTGCCGTGCCTAAAATTCGATTCGTGACAGAAACTTAAAAAAGTGCATTATTTAAAAACTCGATTATCTCTGAAATGGCAACTAACCGCGCGTGTTTCTTGTATGAGGTTTGTAAAATGTTGCAACGATGTATGTATGCTGGTAACGTCTTATCTCGCGTAGGTACGTGCAGCAAGAATCATCCGTGCTCCATATACAGACGCCTGCAAACTACAGCGATCGTGGTTTAGAATGATAATATGTAATGCCGCTTATCGAGTGCTCAGCCGATTAGCTTACGCTATGTACAATGTGTACCAATGAAAGAAAGGAAGGGCGAGACCACTGCCAAGGCGTGGCGAGTTAGATAAATTGCAGCGTCGCCTTCTAATCAACCTAATCGGCTATGGTACTTGGAAAACTCGCTTGATTGTCCGGTGTATGCAGTGAATTCCTCTCCTACGCGTTTCTTAACCCCTGGCCGTACAATTTCCTCCATGATTACGGTGATTGAGAAGACTTGATTTTATGCACGTACCAGGAAACAGCTGCAAATTTCAGAAATTTTTCGAACAACGAGTCAATCCTAATTGACGCTCGGATTGTGCACAAACATGGACAATTTGGAAAGAGGAAATACGATTATTCGAGCTTCGCGGCTCGTTTTGGTCGTTGTTGACAATCGGTAACTATAAGAACGACCCGCGAGACTCTAGTAATCTCGTATCTCCTCTTTCCAAATTGTCTATTTTTGTGTACAATCTAAGCATTAATTAGAGAGAATTACTGTAAATAGATTCGCTTTCTTGTGATTGTCTATTCGCATTGAAATGCTTCAGCAATGTTTGAACCGGAGTTGGATTTTATTCGAATTCTGTCGAATAAATATTTATCCAAAATAATTATCCGAATGAACGCTTCTTAATCGACTATTTATAGCTATGCTTATTAGTCGAATACTTTTAATTCGAACGTTTCATTCGAATAAGTTGTTCGAAAAGAGATTGTAGTATTATTCGAATGACAATAATTGTTGACTGTTTTATTTATGTATCGATGATCGATCTATTCAAAAGCAACTTTCCGATGCAACATTTGAAAAAGTGAATATGCAAGAAATAAATCTATAAACTATAATGTCATTCTATCATTTTTATTCACATCGATTGTTCTCCGTATGAATTCTTGTACGAATTGTTATTGGAACAAAATCTTATTTTTATTCGATTATGTGTGATTTAAGTACAATGTAATTGAAATACAATAAACAATTGAAATACAGTTCTCTAAATTACAGCCCAGAAATTGGAAGAAGTGAAATACATTTTTACGTTTTCCTTTCGTATGCTGAATCTTTGTCTCTTCCTGCGTATCTTCTCTCTTATTGTCTGTTAAATTATTATTTTAAATTCGTAATCTTAATTCAATTACATCGTAGTTGATGTAATTTAATTATTTAGTATTTTGTAATTCTATTCTAATTGCAATTACGAATTACATTGTAATTTAATAGAGTGGAGATCTGAATTGCGAATTACAATGTGATTGAATTATTATTGTAATTGATTTTGTAATTATAATTCCTTGAGTAGGTAAATCAATTATATTTCTGCACCTAAAGAAGATCAAATGTTTTAAACTCTGTGTGTGTGACCACTGAGATCTATTTACATTTACTACTTTTCTGAACAATCACTGAAAAGTTGCGAACACTTATCATTTAAGACATTAATTCGACGCATTTTTAAAACAAATTTAGTATTTATTTATAAAATAATCATTCGACTGCGGATTTTATGCAGTTTTGACAAGAACGATTAGGTCAAATTTAAAACTGTGAAGACAATGGAAGAATTTGTGAATATCTTTATATTATGTGTAAAATTTTTATCATTGATTGACATTTCTATCAGACTTACATTTCTCACAATTGAGTCGTTCACAAACAAAATCGATTAACACCACTTTTTAAAATATCTTAAATTTAAGTGCCAAAGCATTTGGTTCAGTCATAACTTATCTTATTTATAATAAATTTCCCAAATAATACATATTAAGACCTTTAAACAACAAAGCTTTTCTGGTTGCCGAATAATGAATAATTTATTTCAGAAGCTATTTATTTTACCAAGGGTTTTCTGTCTTATTCATTCTACTTGTTTTTATATGAAAACTACAGCTGCATTTATGCATTATACAATTTTTATTTTAAGGAGAATTTTGAAAAATAATGTATATTATTTTATCACATTTCTCCATTTTCTGTTTTATGGAGTTAATCGATTTGGCAAATGAGCGGCTCAATTAACTTAAATTATTTTTATTTTGCATACAAATCCGCAGTCTAGTAATCATCCATCTGTTATTCTTCGAGATATTTTTCATTATTTTCGGTGACTTTGGTCCATCCCTCAGGCAAAACTGCCGAACTCCTTGACGATGAAAAGATGGTGATTTTGATGCAATGATTCCGTCAATACATACTTTTTTTGCACCGCGTCCAATGTTCGAAAATTCGTATCTGTTAAATGATATTGGAGTGGTCAGAATAAATGAAAACCCGATAGAGCCAGGTCAGTAGAGTATGTCGCATGTGCAAGGATATATCCCAGTCAAAAGAACAAATGACATCCTTTGTTGCTTTAGCCAGGTGTGGCCGAGCGTTATCTTGTTGCAAGATGACAATGCCGTGTTCTCTTACCTGTATACGGTCTTTCTCTTTCGAGTTCATCAGTCACGCGAATCGATTGATGGCTGGTAGCAATTTATTGATTTATTTGAAATATAAGACGGATACAATCTTATTCCAAGAATTAATTCGAAATATTTCTCGAATAAAATTTGATTCGAAGAATTGATTCGAAATATTTTGCGAATAAAATTTTTTTCGAAGAATTGATTCGAAATATTTCTCGAATAAAATTTTACTCGAAGAATTGATCCGAAATATTTCTCGAATAAAATTTGTTATCATTTCGATATAAGTCAAAATTCTACGATTCTAACCAATTCATGTATTCTAAATGAGTATCTATTTCATAAGAAAACACCCTTGCGAGAAATTTGTATGGTTAACGTTTCTCTCCGGAAGAACTACATACGTAGAAACAGATGTATTTTGCTAAACAATTTATATAAATTCGAACTATATTTATTTAGAAACAGGAGACATCTGTTAATTTGGATTTCTGGTTATCCCCCTCTCCTCTTGTCTACATTTCTGAAAAGGTATATCCTGTTTGACTGGCCGGGTGTAAGCCCTTCGACACCCTCGGTGAAGTTTTCGTGAAGTCATCGGCGCTTGTCCGAGGCTGGAAAATACGGTTCGAACAGTATAAATAGAAGGCGTGCGTATACGGCCCATGTGTACACATATAAAGCTGCGTCCCCACTGGCTCAGCATTTGTCAGTCGGTACTAATTTTTACCGCGAATTTTTATAGAAAATAAAAATATTCTGCATTGATTGCAATAAACAAGTTTCCACGTAGACATTTCTTTCTTTACTTAACAATTTTAATGAATTAAATATAATACAATAGTATGTTAGTATATAGTATATGATATAGTATAGTATACTATAGCATATGCTATAGTTGAATTACAATTTACAAGGTTATAATTTACAGACACATAACTTCTCTTTGTGTAAACAATAATGCTGTATACACTGGAGCACAAATAATTTTAAATAACTTGATTGCTACGAATAAGAATTCAATTTTTATTTCAATAATTTTAGTAAGATGACAGTAATGTGTCAGTGTTCTTAAAACTTTCTGATGGATTTCCTGTTTTATGTTCTATTTTTGCTTTCTTGTGAAATAAAAATTGTTTGCATCAATTGCCGGTCACAGCTGTCACGTAGTCGTTTCGTTTCTTGCTTCAATACCTTTAATAAATTGAAAATGGTGCAACAACATTTTCAAATTGTTTAAATGGTTTTACTATGATGCAGTTGATCCATTCATTTTCTCGCAAATGCATACAATCCTCAGTATAATCCGCAAAGTGCAGGATCATGTCACGTGACGTACAATTTTGGTACACTTTGTGAACATATATTTAAAATGACATTATTTGAAATATTATTTCAAACATGTTACTTTATTTCATAATTATTTCCATGCGTGTAATAAGGCATTTTCTTTTAAAAATGATCCTCAAAATAATGTGCACCAAAAGGATTTTATTATAACACACTTTCTTTTATCACATTCGAAATAAACAGATAACGAAATCATTCATTATATGAAATAGCTCACTTGAAATGAATCGATGTTATCTTTATTTATAAATCGAAACATTATTTGAAATATTATTTCAAACATGTTACTTTATTTCATAATTATTTCCATGCGTGTAATTAGGCATTTTCTTTTAAAAATGATCCTCAAAATAATGTGCACCAAAAGGATTTTATTATAACACACTTTCTTTTATCACATTCGAATTAAACAGATAACGAAATCATTCATTATTTGAAACAGCTCACTTGAAATGAATCGATGTTATCTTTATTTATAAATCGAAACATTATTTGAAATATTTATTTCTTATTTTTGTTTCACATAAAATTTTAACCTAAGTCTGTCGACACTACCGCGTGATCCCTCGTCAGTGTCGATCAGTGTTGGGCATTAACCAATGAAAATTTTTAATTTCATTAAATGATTTATGATAACGATTAAAGGTATTAATCGATTGATGAATGTGATCGTTAATCGTTGATTAAGAATAACGATTGAATTAATCGATTGATGAAATTAATCGTCAATCTTCGATTGAAAGGGACAATTAATCATTGTTGATTTTTTAATGTTATTGAAAGGGAATTTTGATGTAATTCCGTTAAGAATTCTCTTTATCATTTTAATTACTTTATTATATTTTATGTATACGTATATAGAATTAAAACGATTGAATTACAATAGTTAATCATTAATAGCAATTAACGATTGAATTACTAGTGTTAATCGTTAATCGCAATTAACGATTAAATTTCTATTGTGGTCGTTAATAGCAATTAACGATTAAATTCCTACTGTAATCGTCAATTGCAATTAACGATTCAATTCCTACTGTGATCGTCAATTGCAAACAACGATTCAATTACTACTGTTAATCATTGATCACAATTAACGATTAAATTCCTACTTTAGTCGTTAATCGCGGCTAAAAATCGAAAGAAATTTAGTTGTTAATTGCGATTAACGATGAATAATACACTTCGTAATTTAATCGTCTTCCGTCGATTAATTTTTTGTTCATTTCTGTTGTGGACGCGGCATAATAAACCCGTCGAATGTTTGAAAATAGTCTCGGGGTCTTCGCGAACGCGGTACCGTGTGCATGGGTGAACGAGAGGAGAGACTTTCGCGTGCACGTGATTCTGCGAACATAATAGAGCACGAAACTCTGGGCCCGCAGCCAGCCGCAGCCCATGACGCATAATCGCGGGCACGGTTTCGTAATCGGGGGGTCCGCGATACCGCTGGAGTTCCAAGTAAATTTCATTAATTGCGAATAATTAATCGTCCCGTACGGCGTCGATTGATTTCCCGTCGGCTAACGCTGTGATTGATTATCATAGTCCCATTGTTCGATGACGAAAAGGATGGTAAGGCCGGTCGGATGACGTTTAAAGTGATTTTTGGGGAGATTTTACGCGACTCGGGGACCGCTGCATTCGTTCGCGTTGATTAGGCTCCGAAAAACTATCGCGGTTTTCCAGCTGGCTTGCCATTTACTTCACACAGTCTAGTTTTATTATACAGGGTGACTTATTAAATTTTGTCACCGTATTTTTTCTTGTAGATTACATACTTTATAAAGAGAATGTCGTATCTGAGTTGGGGATTATTCGAATCAAATTTATTCGAGATGTACAAATAAAATTTTAATCGAAGAATCTATTCGAAATTTTATTGAAAATAATATAGGAATAAAATTTTATTCGAAGAACTGATTTGAAATATTTTGAAAAATGAAATTTTATTCGAATAATTCCAAATAAAATTTGATATCGAAAAGTTATTCGAATAAAATGTTATATCGATACATATGTTATTTGCATAAAGTTTGATATCTAATATGTTATTCGAATGAAATTTTATTTCCAACATCGTCAATATTTATCTTCATGTATAATCATGAAACAGAAGATTCTTTAGTGTGAGAAATTGTTCATGGGATCACCTGTAAAAATAATCTTAGAACGAATCACTTTTTATACAGATTTTTGTATACGGAGTTGCTCGTATTTTACATGTTTTACATTTATAGGTCTGTAGAAATTGTGGGCTATGATATTTCATAAAAATCCTTTTGAATATGAATGTTTTGCATCGTCGAGGTAGTGTCTATTTTGTGAGAACAATAGGTGCAAATGCGATTTACAATGTATAAAAATCGAACATACTTACGGTACAAGAGTGTTAATTTTAGTTTTTGAAAATGTTTTGATGTGCTCAACTGGTTTTTATATTGAAGTACAGATGTTTCGCATCATCGTCAATTAATCAGTGATCATTAATTTCTTGAATCACGCATATATTAAGCGGAAAAAATTAATTCGCCTGGACCTTCAACTAAATAGACTTATGCAGTCACATAAGTAAATTCATTATTAACTTCAGTAACGTAAAATTTTGTATTTTTAATAGTTTTACAAATATTATTGTAGAAAA